AAATCCATCGAATAGACATTTTTATCTGACGGAATGGTAGACATATGCATTGACGGTGTCAGTGACCACTGTCACTTAGCGACTACTGGTGTCTGGCCCCCTGGCCTACATTAAGGGACGAAGCAGTCATCAATGCGGCTGAGCTGGTTGCTCAGCGTCCTCATACTCAATTGCCCAGATATAGACTGACTACCTCTGGTTCGCTTCCGAAATAAAAATGACAGTAGATTAAACGGCATTCTAGCTTAGGAAGTACGTGTTCCAACGAAAGTACACCGAGGATGAGCCCCCCCCCCACCTATTCAACCCACCCCATGTACTATGACAGTACTGATCTGACATTTTCACTGATTACTCGATAGGTGTGGAGTGCCACTATGGCATAAGAGGGAGTGGATTCGTGTTGATTCAACCATAGAGAGACAGAAGAGCAGCGAGATTTCATGATCAAAATTTACAAGATCTGAACTTAAAGTGATCTCTTAGACCCTTGCACATGAGTGAGCTTACACGGGATTTGCTTCCAATTTACCTACTGTGAAAGTTTGGTGGCCAACTGATGAGAGCCGGTTGACGGGATGTTGCACACTGGCTTGGCACATCTGTTCGCTGGTGAAAGATGAGGGTGACGTACAGACAAAAAATGGAGTTGCGTACAACCATCACGAGATAACTATGTAGTGATGTGGTGAATGATCCTGAAGTCTATTCCGTGTAACTTGGACAAAGCGTGATTGTGCGGCAAACATGTGTGCAAATTCCAAGTCTTTACCACAACATGGCTACTCAATTATGAGGGGCAGAAAGGTGAGTTACACACACACACACACACACACACACACACAATCTTTTCACTGAAATTTCACCAGTACTGCTCGAGACTAACCAAGAAGAGGCTGAGTGGATGCGCGATCCGCACACGAAGTGTTCAAGAGATAAAGCCACTAAAATTTTATAAAAGTTTACAGGTGTGCGCCACCTAATTGAACAAATTCAAGGCTGACTTGAAGCATGACGCGAACTGTGAAGGACTAATGTCGGACTATACTCACCTATGAGTCTTCGCCCGCTTTGATGCCGTACGTTCTTTTCCCGACTAGCGATCCAAAAGCGGCAAATGAAAGGAACAAACATTCAGTACGCGAATAGGTACCACCGATACAAGAATAGTCACTATAAAGTCGTTGCACTCAACTGTAATGACATGAATCAGGATACCAACACGTGGCAACATGAACACGGGTCGAAACAGTGTTGTGGCGGTGGTCAGAGCAATAGGAAGCATCCAAAGTACAGCATTCATGGAAAAATAATATGAATAATAACGATGGTAGTCTGCGAAAGAACACAGAATAGTGATAGGCAAATGTGAAACTCTATTTAGGAAATGAGTTGGGTGCATACAGGATAGTGACGGCGCACGATGCCGGAAAGAAATAAACTTAAGAATCTTAAGCATAACACTACATGCGAAGAGAAAAGGGTGCTAGTTAATAAGCTCTAGTATTGGTGTGACGCTAAACAGAGCAACGTTATTACCGACAGACAGAAGTAGCGGAACAGGTATGTGGTTAAAATTACAGTAAACACCGGCAGGAAATCAAGCAACGACAGCAGCGATAATATAAACGGGCCTGCTTTGAGTTACTGAAGGAACAAAAAGGACATATAGGCACAAAACCCCAAACAGAGAGATACAACATACGACGTACAAGGTAATATGACAATGTGTGCAACTCCGCAAACAATCCAGAAATATTGTCTCAAACAGCAAGGCAGAATGAATGGCAGAAAACACAGAAACCAGGGAAATCGTGGACCATATTTACAAAACATACCTAGAAGTGATCATAAACCTGGGTCAGTCAACCAACAAGGTGGTTAGCGAAGTTCGGGAACAATAAAAACGAAACACGCGGTCGTGGACAGGAAACGAGCAAAGTCAAGGAATAGATGGGGTGTAGACGGTTGTAGGGTGCGGTAGACACAACAATGCAGATGGGGAAGGAGAAAGATGCAGAAAACGGAACAATTATTGAAATAATCGTATTACAACATATCAAACTGGCAGGCGGACAAAAATGTTAGATGAGATAGATAACAAGCTACGGCGCCGAAGCACTGAGTTGCGGTGAAAATGGGAAATGCCTCACCTGACTTGCCAGTACATCGGATTGTCTTGGAGGTTCCGGAGACTGGAAATTAGATGAAACGTTGATAAATTCAACAAATGGAGGATTGAGTAGTGAACTCGAATACGGCAGCCACAAGCTCAACAACAGTTTAAGAACACTTTTAATTGGGTGGGTTACCCAGATCTGGCCACGAGCTAGGAAGAACATCGCAAGAATTCGGATCGCTAAAAACGGCATACCAGCTTCAGTGAGGTTCAGTAATGTAGGTTCACACTCTATTCCCAGAGTTATGCGAGTGGAAATTACCAACTTGTACTAAGTAATCGGATAAGAGATGAGAAACGTCAGTGTCAGAACTACAATGACCAACCCTAATGCGAAGGAAAATTGTCAACTCAGGACGTACACGCTTGGAAAGTAAATGCCCATATGAACGGTTAAAGCCCCTAAGGGCGTACAAAAGGGGTCTTCACAAGACACGTCGGAAATTCAGCTAGGAGAGATTACTGAATCCAGATCTACATCAATACAAATCAGCGTAATTACGAATGATAAGCGGTTGTCGCCCACCCTCCTGTGTTTCCCCATACAGTTGAATTTTCATGCAGTTCATGCAAACAGTGCACTGTGAGTGCACGCGTGCGATTGGAGACCTCACTCATGTAGATCACTGAATTGAGCAAGGATGAACTGCAAAAAACGCCTGAGAAACGTGAAACACTTCAAGCGAAACATGTGATCCTGCGATTTCCACACAATTCCTTCCTCCTCATCAGCTATTGATGAATGCTAATAACCGGTTGTAACTTATCCTGGAAAGCATGAAGCCATGAAGCCTCTTGTGTTTTATTGCCACCATCAAACCCGAATACAAGTCTGGCGAAAAATACATACTATCCCATCTGACATTTCGCCAACAAGTACTTTGATAGTTCACTAGTAGCATGATGCGACGGACGGACGATTTCGTTTCCCAGTGAGTTGAAATCGCTATTTATCTAGAAGTTTGAGTGCATTGTCGATTGCAGCCCTATTACCTGACATACAGTACACTTATGCAGCGTACGGAATTAGTCCCTGAGCCAATGCGAAATACTTTCGATCCCTGCCAATCAAAAAGGGCACCCCATGGTCGCAATGACACTGCATGGTACTTCGAGAAGAAACGCTTCCCGAAAGTCGACCAATCCCCTGTTTTTAAAACCATAATCGTTCCAATTTCATGGACCAGGCCACTGTAGCATTTAGTTCACGCCGCTTTTATGTGGCAGGTTTTACGCGTCACATCCCTCGTTTTACCACTTGTCTAGTGGGATGTGAAACTCAGGACCCCAGGAGTTAGGACAGTTATCAAGGTACCAAGGCCGGATTATTACCAGTTACCTTGTTACCCACTCACGCTCGTGCTGTCACGTAACATTTCACTATTCGATAGCTTACACTTACAGGTTTATGAGGACGGAAGAGTCATGAAAAATGGATGCAGTTTTATTGCAATTAGGGAAAATGATACGATATGAAAGCCACCTTATGAACGAATGAAACTGCAAACAGATGTAATGAACTTGTTCGAACCTCATGAAGTTGTTGAACGTCCCTGAAAGAAACACGGGTCTGATGGAAATCCTAACCGAAAAACTCCGACAACAACTGAACTCAAGGTATGGATATGTTCAGGTCCGATGACAACCCACCGTGCCATTGGCGTTTTGTCGTGGATCTGAAACATCCGTGCAGAACAAGAGAGAAAATAGTCACAGGCTATCGACCTGGTTCGCACAGCACCACAATAGCAAGAGTAACACGTGATGCCATCCAGTCATGTGTCCTTCGCAGATCTCCGGAGGGTCGCTCCGATACACTATACACTATACTAATCGAGATGACATCATCAGTGCGCTTTTAGGAACGTAGTGGAGTTTATCAATCGGTTGTTGGTTGTGCGTTGTGTAGTGTTGCGTGTGTATTAATATGTGCTGCTAACCGAGGCTGACAGATGGCTCGTTGCCATATCGACCGCCTTATTAAGATGTCCGTCTTGATGGTGCACGATACAAGAACTCCCAGTGAATCATCCCAAGAGCTGACAACCTGCTGTGTGACACTGACACGACCGCTTAATTTATATTTGAAATTCAAACTGGCCAACACAGTCTTTCAAACGACACTTTACGAGAGGGAACAACTTTCGTTATATCTCGATTTCGTCGAAAAAAACAAGTGCCCAACAGCGAAAACGACCAGATGGCTTTAGCACGGTTACTGAACAGTAGTCAACCAAATAAACCTTCAAGCAATCGAGTACCTGCGTCATATCTAATGTAGTGTCTGCAAGGAGCGAAACTTCAGCAAAATGCCAGATTTCACCCGGCATCCTGCAGAAGACTTGTTTTAGAAAAGTTTGCCTACCTAAACAGCTGTACCAGTCCGGTGGTCTGGTGAAAGATGATAATTCCATCGGGATCGGAGAAGCCGGAGAAACTTTTGTGAACCCAGGTCACCTGTGGCATAGGCATTACGTCAGCTTATTCGTCAAGGGTCGAGTTTGCAATGCTGCGGTGCGATCCATATTGCTATATGGGTCAGAAACCTGGTCGCTGCGTGCCGAAGACATCAGAAGGCTTTCAGTGTTTGACCATCGATGTCTTCGGAGTATTGTCCGAGTCTGGTGGGAACAGTGGATCAGCAATGCTAGTATTCGGAAGAAATAACTCGCCCACGATAGACGGACTGATCATACTTCACAGGTTGCGCCGACTTAGCCACGTGCTCCGTATGCTAGTCGACCGAGTTCCTCGAAGGGCTCTTTGTGCAGAACCATGCGACGGGTAGAAAAGAGCCAGGGAGATCAATGACTTGGCAGTGAAATATGGAAGCCATTACCAGCAAACGCAGCAGCACCTATCATTGCCGTCTCCTTGGATATGCACCCCAAGGGGGGGCCACATAAACGGTCAGAGACATTATCAGACATGGCCCAGTCGCGTCCTCAATGGTGCCTTCAATGCATAACTCCCTTCCGAATCCCCCCCCCACTTAAAAGTCCACCGATAAATCTGTATTTGCGCACCAATCTATCAGCTCCCGCCTCAAATGCGCAGCTACCTACCCCTCCCCCCAAATCATCGGTGGACGAAATTGTGGCGGCTACAACCACTGTATGACAAGCACGCAGTTCGTACAGCGCATAATGATGAGTATGATGATGATGATGATAGTAAAAAGAAGTTTGTCGCGTTTTACAAAGAATTACACGAATGACCGACGGTTACTTCAAATCCGCACCGGGAAACACCTAATGCTAACTTCCAATGAGGGGCATTATTCTTGGCACGAAGGCTACTTTTGATGCTGCCGACTGTCAAGAACTATTCCAGTGCTCGCCAACCAGATGTGTCCCTCCTAAATTCTTATCATTTATACACCTGCTATATGCCAACTTCTGTACGTATACCGGCACACAGCAAACTTTTGCGTAAGTTCACCACGACTTGCGCTGTAAGACAGGAGTGCGCTCTTCCACCATTCAACTTTGTTATTCATGCGCTGCTTGAAATTCTTCTGCCTGTCTCTGAAACCTCAAGAATCGAAACGCCCCCGGAGTGTTCCTCATCATCGATATCAACTGTAAGAAAATCACACTTGTCGTATATTGGTTAAAGCTGCCGCAGTTCCGTTCACCGACGACTTGGGTACGTGGGGTAGAAGGTTGCGCTCACAATCAGTATGTTCTCCTTGCTTTAAATTCAGCGGAAGTGAAAGTCACTTTTAACGACTTAAAAAATTGTCGCATGGTTCGGTATGCGCCTCACACTTGCAAAGTGTTGCTAAAAAATTGGGCGGGATCAAACCCGAATCCCATGATACCCTTTGCTGGTAGATACATTTATTGACCTGGCCAGTTGCATAAGTTCGGGTGGATGGGCTGGAGACAAGATTACTTTCCAAATTGAAGAGGCCAGATCAGGTTTTGACGACCTCCGACAACATATGGCACCAGTGTGACATCAGTTTGCTTGTCAAGAAGAGATTATGTACTATGACAAGGGGATTCATACCGCATTGTAGTTAAGAAATGTGGCCTCTATGTGCAGAGAATTTACGAAAACTCGATGTTTGACCATCGGTAACTCCAAAGCATTGGCCGGATTTGGTGGGAGCAATATTATCTACCTCGCGAACGTTGTTTGCCCGACCCCGGGTTGAGTAAAAACCACCGGAAAGCTGTGCGCTATACGTAATTAATTGGCCCAGTCAATCAAGTTGTAGTCAATCAGGTGGACCTACAATAAACTGCGCAATTTCAGAACAGATTACCCGCAAACTGTGGCTGCGTTCTTCTGGAGACCCTTCGATTACGCTTGTCCAGTGGGAAGGGGTTGGGGATGGACATCGGTGGAAGCTGAACTGCGCGGGCAAATGATACTTCCCGGTTGCCTAGGCCGAGGAAGGGGGTTTGGTTGAGGTACCCCACCTTGAGCATTCGACTCAAAAGTCTGACCCACGAGGCAGTGGGAGATTGTAGGGTTTTGTTCGGGGACCCTGACCCTAGCCTCTGACTCAAAAGTCTGACCCACGAGGCAGTGGG